GAACTGTTAAGTAAAACAGCCTTTGTGCAGCTCGGCTTCTTCCGAAAATACGTTGCCAGCATTGATATACCATTGACTCACTGGTCAGTTCCCATATACGTTTTCCCACTGCCCAGCAGTGCCCTGCTTTCTCAAAGTTTACATTTCGATTTCTGGATAGAGCAATGGAACAAGTGGCCAATTCATCATTACCCTAAAAAGGAAGGGTTGGGATGAATAAGCCTATTGTTGGAGAGCACAGTCAATTTGCCAGATTGTCTTCACAGCAATTAACCTGGCTACATGTAATTAGTGAAAAGTTCAGGCAGCTATCTAAGGACTTGTTATGACTTTTTGTTCTTTGAGGACTTTTACTCTAGTAGTCTGAATTATACATGTATTTTACACATGTATTTACAGAGTAAAAAGTTTATTATTTTTCTTACTAGAGGGTAATGAGTTTTAGTATCTCACATTATCTTTGTTGTAACTACCAGGTTTAATCTTGAAAACCATTTATTGCAATATTAGAGTAAATGATGTGTTGAAAATAATATAATAACAGTCTAGATGACAACAACAACAAAAAATGTGTAAACTGCACATTGGGCCTTCACTTCTCTAGGCAGCACAGTAATCCAGATACATAATAACGCCACGTCTGCTTTAATCGGCATTGGAAAAGGAGTCCATGAGTGACAAAAACAGAAGCGGTGAAGGGAGACACTTAAATTTAAGCAAATCACCCACATCAGTGAGCCGCAGCAAAAGAAAGACTATTGGTGTGTTTGATAAGCTTGATACATTCCCCACGAGGAGCTGTCAGCAGTTGGCTCTGATGCCTGCTCTTGACAGATGCCACACACCTGCAAGCCTCAGCAGCTCTGCACTTCAAACCCTTGAGCTCAAAAGTGCAGAAAACCACTGCCAGATACTGGTGATACTCCTGTTTGTCCCCTCCAAGACATTTCTCATCTTGCACTTTGTGCCCGTGCTGTGCATAGTAACGGTGCTGAGCAGCAAGGGACGAGTGAAGCGTCACGCACTGCAGAAGTGGCAAGAAGGGAGGTAGGTGAACACTGCAGAACGGCTTCTTTCCAGCTTGCTTCCCAATGTGTAGGTCTGCTGTATCCACTTCACTTGCCCAGTACCAGTCAGGCGACCAGAAATGCTTACTTGTCTGCCTGTGGGCAGCTGGAGGCATTACCATGGTGGGCTTTACTGGCAACAGAGATCTAATTCTCCTCCTACTTACAGCAGAGGTGTCACTCAAGTGGCTCCTGTCCTACCCCAGTAGGGGAGAGCCGATGAGGAGGGGTGAGCAGCTGCTCATTCAGCTGGCATGGAGAACGCGGGGCCTTGCTGCTGTCACATGTGTTTTTTTCCTCCCAAATAGCACACATGTGGTCGCTGTTGTGAGTCAGAGCAGATCACGTATGACTACTGTGCAGGACTCGGCTCAGGTGGAGCACGCAGGGTTTGGAAAAAGTGGAGAATAAAATGAAAGACGGGGCCAAACTGATGTTCCCTTAATGGCAGAAAGGCCTTGCAGTTACAGAGTTGACAGACCTGCCCTGAGTATGAGGATGATCATAATACCTCTGATGTTTGTTTTGTGTATTTGGATTGCAGGCTCTTTGGCACAAGGACTGTGTCTCATCATGTATTTACACAGAGCCCAGCACAGCAGGTCACTGGTCTTGGTAGAGGCCTCCCATCCCAAGTGATAATAAGGAACTGGCTTTCTTCTGGACCTTATTTACCCAAATAACACTGTGTTCCATTGTGCAGCATTGTTTTTATTAATTTTTTTTCCCGTTCAAATGAAATAAAAACATTGTCCACCCAAACACTGAGGAACAATATGAGTGCTCATCTCCTGCTGGGAAATAAGAATTCAGAAGTTTCAAATATCAGTGCTTCCTGCCCCCTTTAGTCACTTTGCGGACTTGGGTCTGATGATAAAATGCTTTAAATCCATTTTAAACTTTGTCCAAGCTGGCATTCCTTGCCAGCACCTTAGCAACACAACAAAGCTTGCTTTGAAAGTCTCTTAGAGAGGCAGCCCCCAAATCATGTAGTCGATACTGATGTGAAGAAGTCCCATTTTATTTGTGTAACAGCTGCTTGAATGTGTGTTTGTAGAATTTGTCCCAGAATCTTTGAAAACACGTGATTTAAGCTTAAAGCTGAAGAAGCCTTTGGGAAGAGTGCAAACCAACCAGTTCCTTTTAACTAATAGATGCGTTTTATTTAAGAAAAAAAAGCAGAAGACGACCTATAATCTCTCCATTAAACTCATTTTCTTCTTGGAAGCAAGGATTCTTTCCCATGCACTTGGGTATGAAAGGTCTGTATATTTTCTTTTGCTGAACAGCATTATTAAAAGTTGATTGTGCATGTAACTATATGCAAGATCGCTCTATCTTTAGCTTTGTGAGATGCTAGGAAAGGCATTTCAGGTCTTATCTGACTGTGTTGCAATGCATACAAACAGGGTTACACTCAAACTACGTGATGAAAAGTGAATACTTCTGCTTTAAAAATCTAGTTCAGCAATGGTGTCTGCAGCATGAAACTGCCCGATGTAGCCAAGGCATAATTTTATTATCCCAGATGAAAGACAAATATGACCTCATTGTGTTTTGTATGAAAAACATTATTTTGAGTCTGTCTGGATCCTGCAAGCTTGCTGAGCTGTGTTATTCAGTAATGTTTGGCATATGATAACTTTTCTAAGTCTGGTGTGCAGCAAGAAAGAAAATAAGGCCAGGTTGGAGCTGCTGTCTGTTTGCACAGTTTGTGCTTGCTCTTGGAGCTCTGTGTCAGATGGTTACAGCCTGCTACAGGACAAATCCCATCATTTCATGTGAGCACGGCCTGGCCACGAGGGCAGCTCTCCTCCGGAGTGCCCAAAGGCCAAGGTTGTGGTTAAAGGCTGGAGAAGTCTGGGCCCTTGCTGCGAGGGCATCGGCTCCTCCTTCTCTGAGCCGTTGTAAGAGGTGGTATTCCTTAAATCAGATGGCTTAATGAGAGCAAACTTCCAAGCACTTACAAAAGCATTTTGTTAGGTGGAATAAGGCCTGCTCTCCGGGGGCTGGCATGCGCAGTGGGGCCGAGTCCCCGGCCGCCGCGCTCTCCCAGCGGCAGGGGGGGCAGCTGAGCACCTGGTCCCCTTCGGAGCTGGCTGCCCACGAGGGCGATCGCGGGAAGTGGAGTTTGCACTGAGCAGGAAATATCAAGATTTCAGTGTTCGCTTCCCTGCTATTTGGGGGTGAAAACAGAAAATAGGAATGAGACAGGTGAAGCCCATAGATTTAGGGAAAAAATATTCTGACATTTCCATATTATAGCTGCATTGTTCTGATCATTCCCTGCGTAACAGTTTTTTCAAGGCTGTTTTTCAGTTTGTTTTTTCAGAACCGAAGTGCTGTGTTTTCCAATTCAGTTTAGGAATCCTTGAAGGTTTTTCTCTTTTTTCTTGTTCTTTCTTCCTGCAGATGAGTGTAATGAAATAGGAAAAGTCAGATTTTGTCTATTTTTAGGGTTTTCCATAAAGAAAAAATTAGGATAAAATTGCAAAATAATGAGTTGAGAGTCAAACTGCTCCACAGACACACACACTTTTTCTCCACTGTTCTGTTTCTATTTTATTTATTTTTTGACAATAAAAAGAAGTGAAAAATATATTTCCCTGCACAGTCTTGCACCTCACTAAAAAGGAGGGGGAAAAAAAGAAAAACAAAAGTGGAAAAATGGTTTCTAAACATTGAGACTAAATATGAATTGTAAGATCCATTTTTTAATTCAGCAATGTTTAATTTTCCATAATACTTTAGGAAATTTCCATTTCTTTAAAGCATCCCTTCTTTTGATTTACCTTTTCCTTCCAACTGAAATTTTGCAACTAGCTCCACCAGAGTCAGTTAGTGAAGAACCTCTAGAAGAAGAAGAACAAAAAAGGGTATGCATCTAATGAGCAACACAGTTAGTGATCTGTAGTAGTTACCCAAGTGAGTAATTTTGTTTCATTAATGCACCCTGAAGCACCAAGCTGTTTTGGCGATGGGCGCTGCAGGGCCACTGCGATGCTCAGAGAGATAGTTACGGTACCAACCGCCGCGTAAGGGAAAGTAGGTTTACCAGGAAGGAGGGAGGGAGAAAGCAGCTTAGCATAAGAAGAAATTAAAGAGTGTATATTAGTGTCACAGAAGCCAATGGCAATACTTCTAAAGACTGTAGCAGTGGTCTACCAGGCTCTGTTTTTTTTCTGGCATTTCCAACTTCCAGTTTCTTGGTTAGTGTCTTTTTCAAGAGGGCATTCTGATGTTCGTGGCATTTTGCTTTGAAAGGTGAAGGAGGGCATGTGCATGGCTTATTTGAATGCTTCTTGGAGAAAAGTAGAAAAGCAGATAGCAGCAGTGAAGGCAAAGCAGTGTTATAACTCGGGCTTCTCTTGATGATTCAATGTGGGGCACACACATCATATGATATATTAAGGTGAAGTATTGAATATCCATAAAGGAATACTAGCAAACGGTGTCAATTTTCAAACACTTTGCTTTGTCAGATTCACAAATTTAAAATCAATCATCAAAAAGGCTCTGTATAGATCAGCTGAAGAGACATAAAACCTTATGGCTATCTTCCTGACAAAAAATCTAAAATTAAACATGAGTTTATAGAGAGTCTGACTGGCAACATTCCACAATACTAAAAACAGGGGTTATCCAGCTTCTCAGTTTTGAAATAAATGCCGAGGAAAAACAATGACACACAGTGCTCTGCTAATAAATATGTCTTGGGAGGACAACTGAACACACTGAAAAATAGATTTTGTGGAGAGAGATATTTTTAACATGAACTCGATTTTCTCACTGCATTATCATAAACATGAAAGAAAGAGCAGCTACAAATAAAAAATTCTTGGGCAGTCCCTGGAGGGTTATCAAAAATATGTAGTTTTAGTACACCGCAGTGTAAAAGTATTCATTAAAATAAATTTTTAAAGTGTCCTGTCCACTATGAGTTGCCTGATGTCCTTCCTTTGATCATAAATTATGGATGAACGGGTAGAAAACGAAGAAACCATGTTTCCATTAATAAATTATTTAAATGCGATTGTTAGTTTTTGCAAGCATTGGGCTAATAAGCTCAGGCTTCTGACACTAAAGCATTTCTCATTTGACGACGATGATGATGATTATGTTATTATTAATGCCACGATCAGCGTGTCCCATGAAGCATAAAGCCAGCCAGCTCCTTTGGTCCATACGCAGCAAAGCGGCCCCTTGGGATGGTGTGGAGGGGTTTGCCGTTGAGGAAGGCTGGTGCGAGCGGGATCCGCCAGGTGGCTTTCCCTAAGGGAACCCTTAAGAAAAGAAAGCGCCATCCCAGTGGCGGCTCCGGGAGCTCCAGCGAGTCGGAGAGCAGCTCCGAGTCCGACTCGGACAGCGAGAGCAGCTCCAGCGACAGCGAGTGCAACGAGGAGTCGCGCAGTGCCACGCCGGAGGTAAGGCCGCCCTCGCAGCTCCTCCTCGGCGGGGCTGGGCAGGGAAGCAGCAAAGAGAGCCACCTCCTGCTCCCCTCCAGGAAAATGGTGAAGTTCTGCACTCTGTGGTGCTGTCTGCTTTTTTCTGCCTTTGCAGTTTTACATGTGTGACCCACATAGTCGTTCTAGCTTTTGGAAGAATCCTTCTGGCCTACATTTGAATTGCTTTAAAGAAATATTTAGATTTTTGCCAGTAGCTAGAGAATATTTTATTGACATAGTATTCAGCTGGGACTAAGGAAAGGCAACATGACAAAACTGTGTCTTCAGGGACCAGCTAAACTTTTTAGTTGTATTAAATTTCTCCAGGGCCACATTGTAAACCAGATAAGGAAGCCTAATTAACCATAAATACTCCATAAATACTCCCATAAAACTAGCAGTCACCACTAGTTGACTGAAATAAAAGGGTATGTTAAAAACGTCCTCATTTAAAGGCAAAAGCATTGCTTCTGTCTGAGAATTGTTGCTTGTCGTTCTTCCAACTGCAGCCTGAACCCCCGTCAACAAACAAATGGCAGCTGGATAAATGGCTGAATAAAGTGAACCCCCACAACAAGACCATCATCAACAGCCAGAATGAGACGCACAGCGAGGCCAGCTCTCAGCCGCAGAGCAACCAGCAGACCGAAGGGCAAAGCAAAGGGAAGCTCAACAGCAGCCTGCCCCCGACCGATTCCAAAGACCGGGCGATCCTTAGTCCCATCCGAGAGAAAGCCAAACCCCGGGTTGCCCAGAAAACCCCAGAGGCAAAAAGCTCCAAGCAGAAGTCGCCAGCTCATAATGAGCCAACTTCACAAAGGACTACTGGGAAAAAGCAACCCAAAAAGGTAGAAAGGACTTCCAGTGTAGAAGAGTATAACTGGCCCAAACCAAATAATACCAGCAACACTCCCAAAGAAAAAGACACACAGGAACCCCCTGAGCAGCCAAAGGTTCGAACTAAAGCAGCAGTTGGGAAGACCGCTCCGAGGAAAGAACCACGGACCAGCACAGGGCTCGCTTCTGAGAAGAAAAAGTACAGAGGCCCCAGCAAAGTTGTCCCTAAATCCCGGGAATTCATTGAAACTGATTCATCTACTTCTGACTCAAACACAGACCAGGAGGAGAGCTTGCAGGCTAAGGTACTGCCCGCTTGCAGTGGGCCCGTCAATGGCATCAAAGTGAAGGACTCTGGCAGTAACATCCTCAGCGTAAGTAGTTTAACTAGCAACGGCAGCAACACATCCATTGACCAGACCAGCAATGATTTGGAGGAGCAGCTCTTTTCTCCTATCCCAATAGTACAAAATGAACTTCTGTCCCCACTGAGAGAATATGAAGAACTCAAATCTCTTTGGGTGAAAATAGACCTTAGTTTACTCTCTAGGATACCTGGACAAGAGCCTTTTGAGACCACGTCTGTGAAAAGCGAGCCAAGGGAGGCCAATGTGAAACATAGACGACCGTCTCGAGAGTCCCCTACCCCAGCAGCTGAAAAAACGTCCACAAAATCCAAAAGGAAACACAAGGTAAGTTATTTGCATCACTCAGAGGAAAACAATGAATTTGCGTGTGTCCTCGAGGTCAGAACTGCAGTCAGGTTCCTTGCTGCACCTGCAGCAGGGCTCAGCTGTAGTCACAGCGCTCTAAGGGGCATCATAACACTAAGGCTTTATCGTTTCTACAAGGAACATACAGGTACAAGTACATTACAAATTGACATCAGAAACTATTTAAAGCCAAACTCCATGTATTTTTGAGATTGTAACGTATTTTTTGAGATTTATCTTATGAGCTTTTCCACTGTATTTGCTCACATACCCATTAATTTGCAGTGTTGCGTCATCTGCAGAAGGACTCCCCATGACTAGTGCAGATTATTGAGGTTCAACCATACTCAGAAAATGTGACTGCTCTTTAGAAGGCAGGATTTTATTGTCTGCAGAATTGAGGCATTTTCACCACTGGCTTAGACAGGCGTAGCTTCATTAAAGTCAGTGGAGTGGCGCTTGCTTATGCTCCTGGTGAATTTAGTCTTTATATTGTTTTGTTATATAAACAAATATGATTCATAGAAATATCATTTGCTTAACTAGCTGCTCTCTCTGTGCAGCTACCTGAGAAAGCGAGCATATTTTGACTTGAGGCACTATGTTTTATCATGTATTTTATGTTATTTATGCCCAAGGGTATCCTATCTTGTGGGATATGACAGTGCACTTCAAGCTAAATGTGTTTCCAGAGAAGAAACTGAGGTTTTATATCGTAAATGAATTTTTGTAGTCATTTTTTCCAGCTGAAATGGTTGTGCTCTGGTCTCCCTATGACAAGTCATCATAGCATATTTCTATACCCCAAATTTTATAAATCGTTGTGAATGGGACTTCAGCTGTCAGTTCTAGTGGACGTTTAAACTGTACAAAAATGCTGAGTTAGAGCAGTCCAGGTAAGAGAGACTTAATACAAGACAAAGACAATGCTAGGACAGAGGGTCTACAGAGTCTGTAGCCCCTGCTTACGTGAGTCAGTGCTCCAACTCCTTCCCTCCTGAATTAAGTGAAAATAATAACTTGAGTCAACTCAGCAGGCTTTTATCCAATTTATATTGTAGCTGTACACTAAAGGTCAAAAGGTAAAGAAGGAAGGAAAAAAGAAGGAAAGAAAGTGGAAAGGGATAGGTACATGTCAGTGTTTATGTGTATCTGAAAGTGCACCAGAGTTCATATTAACTATGTGAAAGTGCTTGCTAGGTAACTTAGTGGAGTGTCAGTATGATGGAGTAGGAATCCTGGCTAAAAGAAGAGTATGGTTTTGGTAACTAAACCTGGGCCTTCCGGGAAAAAAAGGGTTATATGAAAATTGGAAACTCAACTTCAATAACTGGGACTGCATCAGAAACTAACAAAAAGAAAGGAATGTCACCCTGAATTTGCACAAACACAAGCTAAGCTCTAAAACAGCCTCTTCGGTTGCTCTATGCAGCTGCATGTATTGCTACCTAAGAGGAAACAAGCCAGTTAGGATGACTTCAGGGTACATCAACAGTTAAAACAGGGTAAGAAGAACCTGATTTGGGTGCTAAATCATGCTATTAAAAGATTTATTTTAGCCATCTAGTAGTGGGCCTGAAAGATGATATGGAGGTTCCAGTGACAGAGCAGTAATCAGCTTTGCTTGTGTCATCCAGTTCAGGTGCAGAAGTCATGCATCAGCGAGTCTTTCAAAGCAAATTTTAAAGCAGCTATCTCTGTTACTGACTACCACCGCCTTAGAGTTCACTCCCGTGCCTTTTAGTCCTGTGAGGAATACTTACTTGGGGAAGTTTTCCCATCGACTTCTGTTAAGTCAATGGGTAAAAGCTATTTGCTTGAGTAAGATTTGGTGCTATCAAGTCATTCCGTCTGAATTATTAATTAAATTCCATTGCACTGCAGAAGATAACTGCAGCACGTGAGGCTTTTTGCTTCCTAATTATCTGGCTATGTCACTTATTATATAACTTCATGTCATGTGTTTGGAACACGTTTAGCCCTAATTTCAGGTGACTTTCACTTCTCTTAGATCAGTATTTTAACTGCTGCTACTGTAAAGAAAATACACTGAGATTCCTGAACTCCTCTTAATGACAAGTGAAATTGTGCATAGATACTGAGTCTTTCAAGCTCTACATTTCTCATTAAAGCAGTCTGAAAGCCTGGATACCTTTGTTGAAAGCAAGAAACAGCGCCTGGAGGATCCTTCAGCTTCATGCCTACTCCCACCTTGTATCTCTCCAATACCGAATCACAGATTAACCAGCACTAAAGAGTAAGTTCTTATTTTTTCCCTTAACAATCATAAAGTAGTATTCTACTAATGTCTTGGTTGTAGAGCCAGATGGGAAGGCGTAAGTGACCTGGCATTGCTGTTCCCATCCGTTGGAAAGAGGATCCACATGGTTTTGAATGAACTTCATTCATCCTTCTGATGGGCTACTGGAAATTAGAGTGCCACCACAATCCTGCAGTATTCACCCCCCCCCACCCCATATTTCATCCCTTCAAGGTCCTTTCTTGCCCTCATCATTCTTCATTTTTATGGCCAGAGAATCTTACTAGGAGTGGGCTTTATTTGATTGCCTGGAAATTATTTTTTTAAATTATTTTCTTAAGAGACAATTCTCAGTTTTATTGAAATAAATAGTGGCTTTGCCATTCACTTCAGTGGCCCTTATTCTTTAACTGTGTATACAGCAGTGCCAGGGGTGACCATCTCGATGTTTTAGGCGTACATGCTTTATATTTCAGCAGACATATAATCAAATAGTTTGTGCCTTTCAAAATGTCTTTGAGAGATGGCTATAATGCTTCAGCAAACAGGCGCCACGTAAATAATGATTCTGATTATTATAATCACAAGATTAACATTCTATAAATAACCAAAGAGCCCAATTCCCTTCTGTCATCAATTTTGTGCCTTTACAGTTTTGAGATGAGGCACTTCTTTCTGCTTCACACAAGGACAAACAAAGAATCAGATCCGCAATGTGTTTGTGAAACCATTTCATTTTAATAGTATTTGAATTCAGATAAAGTTCAAAAATAAAATAGTACATGGATTTTAAAATCCATAAATATGGTTATCTTTTTATTTATACTGGTGTAATGACAGAGTAACTTCAGTCCTTGAACTAACCCGTCATTACACCACTGGGAATAAGATCAGAGTTGGAGTCTAGAAAAGGCAGATGATTTGCAAGTTACGGTGTGGTCTGTAACAGGTTGCACATGTAATAAACGTCATGATGGGTGTTGCCTGATTGTCATTCCTAGAAATACAATGAGCAGAGATACATTGCAGAGGGAATCAAGGATTATCCATCCCCAACACCTCTGCAGTCCATTAAAAAAATCTCTCTATTCTTGTCTCCAGCAAGTCCTAAGAAGCCACCCCCAACCTGATGTTTCTTAATTTGGGCTTGTTTTCCAGGTCATTAATTTGATTCCTTAGTGTTTTCAAGGCCTTGGTATTCTCTGTTGAAATGTAATTGTGTCCAACAGTAGTTGTTTCCATATGCTAGCTTTTTGTCTCGTCTGCCTCACGTTGTGAACCAAAAATTTCCTACTTCTTTCCCACTGCCATGATTGAGAATTGGGTCACACCACATTTGCTATTAGTATCTTCTGGCTTCATATTAAACAAATGCAATGTTGTTTGATAATTCAGATCTGCAGCACCCAGTGACACTCAACTGAACATAGATCAACCCATTTCCTGAAGTTTAGGGAGCTGATTGAACTGTGTGATGACGAATTTCTGGAGATCCTATTTTCCACGGGGTTAAGTAGAATTTTAAGGGGAAGAAGAAGAAAGGGGATGCTAAATCTGTGCACTATCCAAACGTGTGGGGGAAAATAACACTTTAGTGGTAAAATGTTAAAAAACTGGCTTTGCCATTTAAACCTCTTTTATCCCAAATCTCAGCATTTTCATTCCGGAGAATTCCTAAGTCTGTACTTGAGGACTTTGAGAAAGGCTGGTGATCCAGCTCCCCAGTGGAAAGATGCTGTTCAGCAGTTAAGAAGTGTTCAACCCCAGGGTGATGTTGTCATTCAGGAGTAACCATAGATCTGTCCAGTTAGAACTTAATCCCAGTGTTGGCAGGCCAAACTCCCCAAGGCAGACTTCCAGTTACTTTAACTAGGCCCTTTGATAGATGTAAGAATTCATCAATGCTTCTTTGACTGAAAGATCGTGATCTCTGGGCCAAAATTTGCAGGCATTCAGCTATCTAAAGGGAATTGGTCACATCTGTGCTTTTGCAGCTCCTAGGTGCCTATCTAGGGTTTAGACATTTAAATGCCTTTCTCTCATAGTCTGCCCCTAAATATATTCACTCAATAAAGCAAGCAAAGATACGCAATTAGTTTTTAAAGAGTTTTTGAAAGGTTACGTGTGTAATATGGGCAATTAGATGCCTAATTTCCACGAGTTTTGTCTATGACTACATGTGCGATTTGGGTATAGACATTTCAGATGGTCAGTTATGAACTGAAAAACCATTTGCACAATAAAATAGCCATTTTATATCATGCAATCAGTCATTACATAAACATCTAGTCATCCCTCTGTTTGTTCTTTCTGCCCCTTCTGTCTGGGACTCTTGCCTTTTCCTAAATGTGCTGTGACATTTAAAATACAATTACTCAAACCATTATCACTTAATTTTTCTTAGTTCTAATATTTCATAACATACTAAGGAATAGATGGTATTATGTTGTGTCCAAATAATTTGTAATAATAATTTGAAACATCCCTATGAGGCCGGATGATTTTTGTCAGCGCAGCTGCCCATTTTGCAGCAGATGATTTTTTATTTGTTTATTTGCTTGCCAGAGCAATTTTGTGAGTATCATTAATTGTATGTACTGATGAAAGCCGTTACTATCTAAATACCTGATTGGTAGACAGAGTCCAGACAGAGCACTATTTGCCGACATTTGGAACTGTGTAACAACACAAACAGTTATTTGCAGGTGCAAACTGTGAGTCTGAATTTCAGACTAGACTCTTGCAAGTGAAACATGCACCAAGTCTAGCAGGCGTGCTAGATGTCTGCCTGAAGCAAACTTTTCGGAGCATTTTTCAAGATTTCCTGTTCACTTTTGTTTGACCTTTAGTTAAAGATGCACCTGTACTTTGCAACGTATCTTTGCTAATCCCTTGGGTAGTTGCAACAGCGTTTGTTAGGGTGTTGTTCACAGCAGAGTTTGCATGCTGCCTCTACGACAATGACTTCAGCTTCATTCGATTGCTGCCATATAGTCCAAGCTAATGCAAGAGTGACCTTTCCCTGCTAACCCCCTGCAGAAAATCAGATACATCGTCAATGCGCAGCATTTCATTGTGGACAGGAGAGCAGAGGCAGAGCAAAGCCAAGTGATGGGTAGAGACAATGGCTTTGTCTCGCTAATAGGCCAGAGCTACCGCTGCATACCACGAGGAGTGGATAAAGAAAGGGCAAAGAATGGCAGCTTGAAATGTGAGAGTAGAGGAAAAATCCCTCTCCTTTGCACACTGACCTCTTGTTGCTCGCTTGCTTGCTTCCTGCTCTAAAAGAAACCAGGCTGAAAAAAAGCAGATGGGGAGCCTTCTCGTTTCTTGATAATTGGCCTTCTCAGACACAAAGATTAAACCCTGCAGCCACAAGACCATCAGTTCTGCTTGTATTTTTTCCTTGCACTTTTATTGTGTTTCTCCTTAGATTTTAAATATAGTTTAACTAACAGTCATGTCAGCAAATTAAACCATTGAGTCTTGGTAATTATTGCAATAAATTCATTCAAAATTAGCGATTACTGCAATCAAAGACCAGTTTCTTAGCCCATTAACAGCCCAAAGCAAAGTGACAATCTGGTTAACTGCTGGTAACAACCTATTTCATGGAGGTTATTGTTAACATAAATGCTTTAGCATAAATCTGTGGGAGATAACATTGCTAAATAAATTATCAGTTTAATTCCTGTGAAAACTCACAGGATTAAGTGGGCAATTTGAAGAAAAGAGCAGAGTTATAACCATAAAGAGTTGTTGTTGGGTTTTGAATTTGAGTTATGCAGAAAAATAAATCCTCAAGAGCGTTTTCATTTCTGGTGAGGTCTTCCTACCCGCAGAGCAGCTTGTGTGCCAAAGCTGAGCAGCTGCACCTGTATCTTGGTGTGCTCCACCGTATGTTTGAGCCCAAAGGTGAAGTGAACAGGCAAAGTTTTAAGCAGTGCCCAAAAGGCCAGTCAGGTCTCTGAAAGTGATTCCTCCTTTGGAATATATAAAATTTCACCTACTGATTAGACAATAGGCCGCTACTATGGTACTTGCAGCTGCCTTCATTTTTCTCGTGCTGCTCTCTTAATCCCTGCACCTCAAAGTAGCAACTGAGGAATGTCATTGTGGTTGCTGTACGTGTGCCTTAGATTGCCCCATGTCATGATAGACTCCTTGCAACCAAGGATTGGCAGAACTCATGGAAATAGCCAGGGATGGCACATGCGTGTGCCTTCTTTGGCCAGTGCTTACTTTCCTTTGAAGAACTTTCCCCTGCAGACAGTTCTGTGTATTACGGTACTATAACTGGGGTAACTTGTCTGAGATCCCAACTGCCCCATGGTGGTAAGAAGGCTAACCAACAGGTCTTTGGGCAAGAACACTTTGGAGGACGTTTGCAGGACCACATGTGCATAAAATCAGCCTCAGTCTTCTGCAGGAACGGCTGGTCTCCGACCAGGTTGCTTTCCTTTGATCTTCTTCAGGCCCATGTGCTTTCTGAGCACGGCAGCATCCATGCTCTTCCTACTATAAAGCCATATGAACGTTGTGCTGGTTTTATTTCTTCAAGCTGAAGATCTTTAATATCAGAGAATTTCAAATAAGATATTTTTAACACCTCTTCAGTCAAATTAAAAGGGGTTTGAGTAGAAACCTCAAATACAGGGGATTTGTTTGATTTCACTCTGCTGTGATCACAGGTAGGCTGAAATATTTTGTATCACCAAAGGCCCCAAGCAGGGGAATGACCGAAGCAGGTGTAGGTATTGATACGGTTGGTAAAACTGTGCTACAGAGGCCAGACTGCAATTAGTGCTGTTCTATTGAATGTTGCCGGGATGAAGAGTAAAGAAGCTCATGTCGCGTTCTCCTCTTTCACTGGTTACTTCAGGGTATTGCAAATCTATAATTTCTGACACTGACTGAAAGTGACTAGGAGTGAAACATAAATCCTTGTTGACTTAATTTGTTATTGAGAATATAGTCAATAATCTTGAAAAGTAAATGATTGTGTGGTGCAATATTAGTTGTCTAACAAAAGATTAAAATTCAGGTAATCTTCATTGACTGAGCTAGGACAGTACCGAAAATAAAAATCTATGAGTAGATTAACATGTTAAACAGTCAGTGGGGTTTTTATTTTTTGATGGATTTGAGAGGCTATAGATCTAGCAGGGTTTTTTTTTTTGTTTTGTTTTTACTGTGTATCACAGCTGCCATTTCTAGCCAGCTAACCATTTCTGTACATAAAACAGACAATAGATTATCATATTACTTGAGCTTTCATGTCAAAACCACATTCATTTTCTGAATCAGGTTCAATTCATCAACCAATATTTGCCCAAGGGCTTTAGCCAGCTACAATGTATCATTTTAATATAGTGTTGAGCATTGGTTTTATTCTAGAGGTCAAATAATTATTACCTTGTTATTGTTATGGTTATTATTTTGTAGTTGTTATAAATTACTTTTTTTGTTCACATGCCATATGCTATTATGGATATTTGCAAAGGTTGCTTATGTGGGCCTTAATCCGCCTCTTAAAAAATGTTTAATGTTAAACACACAAATAGCCGTGCTTGATGTCAGAGGAGCTAACCCCATGCATAAAACTTTCCAGCACTTTGCTGCATCTGAACCTCTTTGCCCTCTCAAATGAAGACTGACTCAAATTAGCATTTAAAGTGAGTGCAATTCGTGCTAATGCACTGGAAGTCATGCTCCAAGGCAGGAGGTTTCTGCAGCCGTGGAAAAGGCAGGGATAGTTCTTTTATTTTCAGTGCCTGTCTCCTCTTGGCTTTGTTCCTAAAACATGGGGATTGCTGCACATATCTGAGGGGAGAGCTGGCCTCTCAGTATATCCTATCTAGAGCTTTGTACTATGGAGAATTAACCAAGGATCTTGCAATGCAACTAGTTCTTATCTGTGTCCCAGGAGCAGCAGTAGCTCAGTGAAGAAGGTGGCAAAGAAAAGAGAAGAGAAGCTGTTCCCTCCTCCCTTATCCCCCCTGTTGGATGAGCCAGTGCACAGGCGGCACAGCAGCGACAATAGCTCCTTCAGCCAAGAGACCAACATCACTAACACCTCTCAGACCAGCAGCTCATCCTCCTCTGTTTCTAAACACAGAAAGAATGAGAATAAATCCTCTTCTAACCCCAAAGGAATCTGTGTAAGTAACTGACCTCAGTGGCTGAAAGTGAGCAAAGATAACGTAAAATTAACTCAGCTTTGTTCTATTTGATTTTTTTTTTCCAATATCTATTTTTAAATCCTTGTGTAGCCCCACTCAAGAGCAGCAAGGAGTGGATCTTTGCAGAGCTGTGCATAAGCAACTCTTGCAAATTCCGTTTTCTGATGTATTAGGCATCACCTTGGCGTGTATCACTCCCTGGCACACCTGGTCCCCAAGCTTTTCCTTTGCAGCAACCTACCAGCTGCAGTTACTCTCCCAGCTCTGTAGCTCCAACACGCATACGTTTTGAAAATAAAACTGAAAGAGTTTTACTATCCAACCCCAAATTCTCAGCCAGAATTAAGCACTGTAGTTGTAGTGAACATTGCAGTCTAAACTGTACTGACAATAAAAATCTAACAAACAGATATCTATCCATAGCACACACAATACCACTATGTCTTCCCTCAGGACTGCAGGTTCCCAGCATCTCATAGTCTATTAGTCAGCTTTATTTGCACCTGACCTCCATGAATCATGTGTGTAAACTTTTAGATATCATGTAAATAGTAAATTTCTTCTCACCCCAAATCATTCTGTTAGGGCTATCGTCCCTCCAAATATTTTAAGATACAGAATTATTTATTTTTTGCATTTTCCCCAGATTCAGATGAGTTTTTACTAAAAAATGCATGAAAATAGCCAAAACCAGAAGCCGCATAGCAAATTGATTTCACAAAAAGGTAAAATTTCATACCAATTGGCCATCTTCTCTTAGAGAAAACTGAGAAACTTCAGTTTTTAGGCCCCTTTAGAAAGTAGTCCTGCTTCTAGAGTTTCAAATGTATTGCTTAGTACAGAGGTGTATCTTAGTATCACTGTCAAAATTAACAGACAAGAAGAAAATTCTGTCACAAAAAAGGGCATACGTCGCCCCATTTTTCACAGTTCGCCACTTCATGAGAGGTTGCTAGCCCTACACGGTAATGGTAAAACTCGCAAGTGGCACGGGAACGTAAGTGACAAATCACTTCACCTTATTCATTCACTCCTGTTGCTTTCTGATATCATTGTGTCACTTCAAGCTGCGAGAGTAATATACACGCCTTCAACTGAAATCCATGTCAAAATGAACTGCGTATGTCAGCAAATAAACAATGCTATGTAAACAGCAGGGCCGCTTCCCCTCACTCTCAGCATCTCCAGTCAGATTTATCTTTGGTTTATTTGTTATCCTGGTATCTGAAATATTTGTCTACTAAAAAGTTCCTTTGTTCAGCTGTAATTTAGTTTCTCTGGTTGTGGACCTAGCTTGCAGGCTACAACTGCCTGATCTTCTGTTCAATTGCCTGCTTCTGTTATGCTTCTATTTTTAATCAATGCAAAGTCACAGCTCCTGAGTTCTTCTTTCCATACTTCTCCCTGTTCTTTATAGCAAGGGAGAGGAAACCATTGCTTGCTCAAATCTGAGTAGACTTTTCAGGCACCTTAAAGTCATTTGGTAGTATTATAGAAAAAAAGTTATAATCCACCTCAAATGAATTTGAGTCTCCATCCAACCCCTTCACTTTGATTTCCCCACCCTTACTTCAAAGAGCGTCTCTAGTCAGTAACACTGTGGTGTCCAGGCTGGCTTTTCACCGAAGAGTTAATGAGTTCAGGTGACAAATGAGCAGAGTAATCATAATGCTTAATTAAGCTAACAGGCTCATTATATAAGAGGATAGGAGGTGGTTTTGTGAGGTATCTAGGATGTAGCTGTGTATAGGAATGTTATTTTGTGTTGTTGCTTGTTTTGGGTGAGCACCTGTAACATTGGAGGGTGTTGGTTTGAACTGCAAAGAAGTAATAGCAGCCCTTTCTCCAGGAGGAAGAATCCCACAATACACCAACAGCCAACGCTCTTCTTGACACCAGCCATCTAGAAGCAGACATCTGGTCTGCAATGCCAGCACTTTCCAATGGCAACTCTGAGCCCCGAAGACCTAAAATAACATTTGATGATGTGTAAGTAGTTAGATATCTTTGTGCCAACTCTGTGTTGTATGGTTTGGGTCCTCACACAAGCAGAGCTCCCAACAGGAGAGTATCTTTGCTATAAAGCTAGTGCTGGGCACCTGTGGGGGTAGTGCTGCATGGTGGCACATACTTGACAAATGAACGGTTGACACTGATTAATGGAAGATGCTTTTGATAAGTTTTCAGATCATAAATGTTTGAATCACAGGTAGTTCTTTTTTTTTTATTTTTGCTCTTCTAATGGAAGCTTCTTATACTTAATTGATTTGAATTATTTTTTATTTTCCTCTGTTAAGCACACATTAGTGGCCCTTTGGGGCAGCCACTTTCCACAGCTAGCTATTTTGCATTCTAGTTACCCATCCTATCTTTGCATTTATCAGCTTCAGATTAGTATCAGGATAAGATTTAAAGAGATATGTGGTGTATGTGTCTAATGTGTTCTTGGAAGCAGTCTGTACTTTTTGCAGACAATGTTTGTCCAAAACAGGCCTGAAATAACTAATTTTGTCTCTTTAGGCTTCACAATGCAGATTATTACATGCAAGAGGCTAAGAAGCTAAAGCATAAAGCTGATGCACTGGTATGTTTTCATGGCTTTTTCCCCTTTCTGTTATTGAGTTGTGTGTTACAAAAATATACCTTGTAAATCTCATCTGAAGCCTCAGGAACGAAGAGGAACCCTGCTAGTGACTAAAGTGTGCTTCAGGTCGTGCTCTATAAGCTGTGTGCCTACTGTAAGCCAAAGCCTGAGTGCTGCTGTTCGGCTTTTATGCTTCATTCCCCAACAAGTAATGCTTTAAAAAAAAGAAGCTCCTTACAATAACAGAGATCTCTTCTGGGGGCAGCAACAGGCATGCTGTGTGTGAAGGATGCAAGATCAATTCATGAAAGATGATGATATGTTTTTGAAACTTGCCTGCATGCTCATTTTGAGCCCAAAACAGAAGTGTTGAAATGTTTCATAATGGCAAGCTAAGAAAGGCAAATCACCCTCCACCCCATTATCATGTGAAAAAACTGTTTGATGTTTTAATTCCGATTGTTTAAATCTTGCAACAATTGTTTGGTTTTTTAACAGTGCATTCATTTTTATTGTAAGTTATTGGGTTGGTAAATAAAGACTTGACACGCTTCTTTCCAAAAAATCTAACAATGAGATAGTTTGATGCTGGGAAAATTTGTTTTCAGTTTTCTCCCCAGATGAAATTCTGGTAAAATTGACCTAATTTCATGAAGTATTTTGAAAGAACTGCATAATCTGACAGATTACAGTTCTGTCATAGTCTGTGTAGTCCAGTCTGTTGCCAGCCCTGAAGTGCCTTTAATAGCCATTTGCTTTCTAATGTAGACTGTCTTCCTGTGTGCTACATAAGAGTGCAGAACAACAGCTTGTTTAAAGCCTAGTATTACTTGACTCTTTCTTCCTTTAAGATATCTGGAATGCACTTCAGCCATTCACTTTGCCCCTCCTAATTGCAGCGAAAATGGAACTGAGTGATCATTTGTGCCTCTCGTCTTATTGTTTTTTGCATGGGAATTGGAACATTCAACATCAGAGCTTTGCATCTGGAAATGTTTATCCAAAAAAAAAAAAA